CCATTTGACCTTAGAACTGAAGAAGCTTCTCGGATGAAGGTGAAACGTCTTCAAGTAACTTAAAGAAGTCCAGACGCTTTTCTTTGCAAGCTCCTTTTGTGTTGTATTTATTAATTATTGACAATCAACTCCAGTAGTCGTTCTTACATCTTCTGATTAATAATAGCTCGATATTTAGCTTAATACCTGATATGCATTTATTCATTAGTGCTTTGTTAGTGTTACATGAGCATACCGTCACGATAGGACTCACCTGTGGCCCAGCAGCACCTGGGAGGTTCTCGGGTTCCTCTCTCACCAGGTGAGTCAGATATCTGTGTACAGTAACAGACCTTCTCACCACCGGGAGCTCTTCTTCTATTACGACCCTGCACAAGAAAGAAAAACACAAATCAAATGTATTTATTAACAGCGCTCTAAACCAGAGCTGTGCGTCACAAAAAAAGTCTTATAAAATATTTAAAGTTGTATCTGTACGTTTAAGGCAACAGATTAAAACGTGACTGAAGACTTTCAGCTTCGGTTTATCAAAGGTTTTATTAACTGTTCAGGGATGTCAGACATTTTCATGCACAGCCGCCAATTTTCAAAAGCTTTAAAAGCAATTGGAAAAAAACACAATTCAATATAATTAAATAATATATTTATAATATATTAATATAAATATAAGTTTTTAAACTTGGATGAAAATCCAATGACTGCCTGATGTCTCTACAACAGTCCTGCATCCTCCCTTGAGACAAGGGAAAAATCCCAAAAAACTTTATTAGTTCTTTTAATTGATAGGATTGTGTGCTGGGATTATGTGTTCAATATGTTTTAGTCTGCACTTAAAATGAGCATTTGAATTAAAGTTGACAGCCTGTTCATGATTTACACTCTTGCTGTTGTTGGGGGTGGGGAGGAGTGAGCAGGGTGAAACGTCTGAGGTGTCAGAGGTGGAGCAGCAGTGGGGGTGAGTCTGATGTTGGAGACCGCCTCATCGATGAATCAAACCTGTTGAAGTTCATTTGCCCACCTCGAGATGGCTCTGGGGCCTCTCCAGACTTCACCAACGTTGTTCTGTTGGAGCTGGTTCTCCATCTTCTGCCTGTAGCTGTCCTTCCATTTCCTTATCAGTCCTCTCAGCTCTCTCTGCACCCTTTTCAGCTCCTCCTTGTCTCTAGATTTGAAGGCCCTCCTCTTCTGCTTGAGGTTAGGGTATATTGTATACTGTGGTGGAAGGTTGGGATTTAAGGATTAACCTGAAAGTGGAATAATGGTTTAGTCTGTGACAGATAAACATATTTAAGGTTGTCATTAGAGGGTTGATGTGCTGTTAAGGAGCTCGACAAGTGAATTGTTTGTAAGGAGCTGTATGGCAAATAAATACTTATTGTTCCACTACACTTGCCTTAGTCCATCTTACTGTGTTTCCAGCCGCTAAGGGGCGCCCTGTTACAATGCTTACCGGCGGCAGACCCAGAACCAATGAGAGAGATTATATAGATCCGCTTTCCTGGGAATGTCTTAAACGTTCGCTCCCCCAGTGCACGATCTGAATGTGGAGTAGCAAAAGGGTCCAACAATCAGTGATTAATGATGAGGTTTGATGCTACACTGGTACAACAAGCTTTACAAATACCCAGAGTCGTCTGTGAGAGCTGCCAAAAACACTGAGAACAAACAAAAAGGCCCACAAATAAACACCCTGTCAGACCGCAATACTTCACATAGTTAAGACCAGTTATGTGACTAAATGAAAAACATCAGGAAACTCTTAAACACATCTGTTTATACAAGAGGCCAACTGCAAATCAGCCTTCATGTAACAGCATGAACGAGATGTCGTTCGTCTAATGAGCTCACCAGAATCATCTCCAGCATCCATCTCTGATCCAGATGGATGTAGAAAAATGGACTCAGCTGCACGTTACAGTTCAGCCCCAACATTTAACACTATAAATAACTCTGAGACCCCCAAAAGCTGCAGTTCATCCACCTGATGCTCCTAAAACGAGTCCCCTTACCAGCAGACACCTTCTCGTGCAGTTACCTCTGATCCCCTAAAACTCGACCATAAAGTCGTGGCTTCAAAGGACTACTCCACCAACCAGTGGGTGATGTCACGGTCACTACTTCCATGTTTTACATGCAGAGTATGGATGTGTCTTACTGGTGTCCCTGGGCTGCCGGGGTCTCCTTTGGGTGCTGGTCTGGTGCTGTCGACACCCGGGGTGCCCCGTCAGAGTCAGTGTTTGGTTGTTGAGCTTCCAGCTGTTTGTGGAGCTGCTGTCGGCCTTCTGACAGAAGAAAGAGCTGATTTTACATTATTGACATTAAAGATATTTAAGTTTCCTTGTATTTAGTCTGGTCACGTGTATGTTATCTTTCCATTTAGTTATTTTACTTTGACTCTTTCCGTGTTTCGTCCTTTTGTCTCCTCGTGAAATCAGTCGTGTCTGTTTAATATCAAGTTCCTGCCTCATTACACTGATTTGTGCCAGCTGTGTCCACAGCTGTCTGCCTGATCACCGTCCATGGGCATCCGATTACTTTTTTTCAGATAACAAGTAAAGTAAGAAATTACTATTGCAAAAGCGGTAATTAGATTACTGTTACTTTATAGTAAGCATGCTGCATTACTAGAAGCGTGGGGGTTTTTTTTGCGAGAATGTCTCATGACAGTGACATAAGCGAGTGCGACGTTCGTGACAACAGCTGTGTGCAGATCAACAATGGATCATATATCGAGTGCAGCGAGAGTATGAGCGTGCAGCGTTTAAAGCGTGGAAGTACTGACCTTACTTTGAGTTTGATTCCATAAAAAGTGACAAAAACATTAGTGTCCGTTGTGCGTGGGAAGAAAACTTCTTTTTACAGCGAAAAAACCCCTAAACTTCCGAGCAAGCACCGAGTAGCTACGACGTAATGGGAAACTCACAGAGAAACTCGCGGATTCTTCCACTGACCGCTGCACACCTGCACCAGGGTAAACCTCCGCCTACCCCACTCCTGCTTTACAGGTGAAAATAGAGCAACAGGACCGCTAGTCTTTGACTTTATTTTCTGCTGTGTTTTACCTGCATCTATTTGAAAAAGTGAGTGTAAACAAAAATATTTTATGTGCAGAAAATAGGTTTAAATGTTAAACAAATTTCCAGTCAGAGAATGTTGCATATAATTAAGTTTTTGCTTGATGCATGCTGATTACTTTTTCCAAGTAACTTGACCAACACTGGCTAGGAGGATTGCCAGGATTTATACTTTGGGGAAACCAAACAACCTCTGGCTAAGAGGATGGCACAACACAGAAGAGCTGCCTCGTCAGGCCAGGACTCTGCAGTCTATTCACACCTACAGGCCAGTGGACACTCTTTCAATGATGAGGATGTAACATCCTGGACAGGGAGGAACGCTGGTTTGAGGGCGGAGTCAAGGAGGCCATTAAAGACAGTTTCTGAATGGAGGAGGGGCCTAAGGGTCCATCTGTCCCCATCTTACAATGCTGTGATTGCAGCCATTTCCCAACTCTCTGTGAATGGGACTCATGGTTATTGATCAGTGGTCATGAGAATTTGCATAATTAAGATTAAGGAACTGACCTCCCAGCCCGTTGTTCCTTCAGTGGGCTGGTTTCAGTCATTATGCAAATGTACTGTTTGTTAGATTGAGACCTGCAGTCAGCTGGATGAGTGACGAAACGTTTCATCCCCTGAAAACATCCAGAGGATCAATCGACAGCAAGATTAAAAAACAACAAACAAAAGAAACCAAACACTCTTAATTTTCCAATCAGAAAAAAGGCAAAAGCACATACGTTTGTTTTGTTTGTTTACAAAAAAAGACTTTAGGAGTGACCTGATTGGCTGTTGGAGAAGTGTGCTGCCGATGGGCGGCATGAAAATGAGAATAAACAGCTTGTAGAGCCGGGTGGTCATATATAGTTAGAGAACCAGTATGGATGTGTCTCCAGTAAATTCAGTTTTGTTTTGTAAGTGAGTGCATTTTCTCTTCTGTTGGCTAAACTAAACAGAAAAGACTGGGCGTACCTGTAAAACATGTGAGGCAGGTTAAAGAATAGCTGTTCACCTGCCAGACATGTTTAATGCTAAAAATGTGTTTTGTGATTGCTTCATGTTTAGAAAGCTGCTGTAAAGTCTTTATGCAGGACTTTGGAAAACTAATAATGTAACTTTCAGTACTTGAAAGTGTTTAACTTGCAAGTAACGGCCAGTTTGTACCAGACCTTTGTAGAAGCTCTGATTCATGCTCCGGTTTCATCACATCTTTGTCGAGTCCATCCGAGAAGACATGGCATACATTTACACTGCTATGCAGATGACACCCAGCTCTATCTGTCCATGAAGCCAGATAACACACACCAATTAGTTAAACTGCAGGAATGCCATAAAGACATAAAGACCTGGATGGCCGCTAACTTTCTGCTTCTTAATTCAGATAAAACTGAGGTTATTGTACTCGGCCCTGAAAATCTTAGAAATATGGTAATCGAAGCACTTGGTACGGTGACGCCCAAACTAGGCAAGTGGCTCCAGCAGATCCCAGGAACAACATCGGAGATCTCTGTGAAGAAGAGCTAAGTCCTGGGAACAGCTGAGATACTGCACAGGACTCACACAGACAGGACTGGAACTCAAAACGCTGCTTTAATGCTGAAAAACCCTCATAAAAATAACTCAAAAAAAACAAAGTAGAAAGACTGGAACACGACAAACACACGGCATGGAGAAAGTACGACGCAAAAGAGAGAAAAGGCAAACAGAGGGCTTATATACACAAGGAGTAATCAGGGAATGGGAAACAGGAGGGAGACACAGCTGGGAGAGGTTAGGACTAACGAGCCAGGGGCAGGTAAAACTGAATACACTGACATAGGACTGAGACTATCAAAATAAAACAGGAAATAAGACACAATTCACAAAAACTCAAACTTGACACTGAAGGACAGACAGAAGGAATATAACCCATGAAACAGAAGACAGTGACTTAAACTAGAGGCCAGAACAACAAATGACACAAATAGAACAAAACCAAGAATAACCCTTAATACACTGTATTGTTAATTTGAAGAAAGAAAGTCAAAAATCTGAGATCTCACAGTACTATTTCAGGATTAAAGAGTAAACATATTTCAACTTTAATCCTGAAATATTTTTATTTTCAAAATTAACAACAAAAATAAAAAGGATCTTTGATTAAAGCACAAAGATCTGACATAACAGTTGAAACAGCATGAGGGGCATAAGGCTCTGAGTCAGCAGTGTCAGTTCATCCAAGCAACATTCATCAAGCAGCACATTCTAAATGAATCCCAATCTGAAGAGGCGGCTGCACAGGCGTGCCAAGGTAAGAACCACACTCGTCTTTTTGGGCTGAAGCGTTAATGCCCGTCTGCTCTGACACACCGTGAGCTGCTGCAGCTCAGTCTGTAGTCTGAGCTCCACTAAAAGTCTCAGCAGACAAGCAGCTGCTTTCACAACATCTGATTGCAAAGAAGAATGAAAATCACAGCTGGAATCACACAAAACTGACCTGTGATCAGACATCATCAGCTGATATTTCAGGAGGAGACAGACGGTAAACTGTGCATGCAATCATTTCCTCTCTGACACAACAGGAAATTCCAAACTTCCCAAATTGACTCAGAAAAATCTGCATATTTTCTTTGACTGCACAAGATCGAAGAGAAAAAGACGTGAACCCACTTACAGCTCTGCTGCAGCAGCATCAGCACCTCTGCAACCAAACACAGCTGATCCAGAGCTGCAGCTAGGGGGGCGATGGCGGGGGTGGAGGAGGAAGGGTGGCACCTCCTCTGGCTCCTCCTGTCATCTTCCTCATTAGAGGTGGATTTACATGTTGGACTTGTGAATCAAAAGGATTTTCTGGTCACACTGAAGCATCTGTTGTGAGTTTTGCAGAGAAAGCAACACATCGTCTGCACATAGACTGATTTATGTTCCACATTCTTACATTTTATGCCCTTAATCACTGAATTCTGTCTAATTGCTGCTGCTAGTGTTTCGATAAACACTGCAAACAGTGAAGGGGAGAGTGGGCATCCCTGCCCGGTGCCCCTCAGGAGACAGAAGCTGGACGATGTTTGCTTATTTGTTCGGACACAGGCTGTTGGGGAGTTTTGTTATATTTTTAACACGTTCTCACTTCCAAAGGGTAACATTTTACGCTAGATGACAAATCGTCAACATATTACGTTTTTGGCTACCCACCACGTTCCTAAATGACGACCTCGGAAAAATGAGAACCGTATGGACTCAATCTACACATGTTCGCTCTTTTTCTTCAAATCGCTTAGAAACATGCTATTTAACATCCTGTCCTGGTTAAGATCAGGAAAAAGGTTAGGTTTAGGGCTGGAATACAGGGCTGGAACGTCTATTACCGCAGGAGCGTCATTGCACTGGATTTCGGCCATAATCCGCAGCGTACCATAAGAACGCCTTATGCGTTCCTTTCGCGTTCCCCAGGAATGCCGCGGGACGTGACAAAACGTCGGCATGTTACGCCTCGGGAGTGAGAACGGGCTGATTTTTAACCAGTTAATGAAAGAGGTTCCAAAACCAAGTTTGTGTAAAGTTGCAAATAAAAATTTCCAGTTAACTCTTTAAAATGTTTTTTCTGCATCTAGAGAAAATATTTCTGTTGCATGAGTAGTCTTTTAAATTAAGTAAATCTACGTGCGTTTGTTGATGAGTGCCTACCTTTATCAAACCAGTTTGGTCAGGATGAATTAAACGGGGGGTTATCTTCTCGATTACCTACATTACTTCATTACTACTTCTACATTAATAAGGGATATTGGACGATAACTTGCGGGAAATACAGAGTCTTAACCTGGTTTTAGCAGGAGACTAATATTTGCAGAATTCATATTTGGTTGTAGTCTGCAATTTCCCTTCTAATCTCCTGCAACATCCTGTGGAATACAGGTGAAGGAATTGTTGACAATTCCTTGTAGAATTCTGCAGGAACGCCGCCTGGACCTGGAGCATTATTAGTGGGCATACTTATCAGGGCTTCCTGGAGTTCACCTGATGTCAGTGGTAAATCCAGCACCACTGCTCGAGTGTCTAATAATTTTGGAAGAGTTATGTTGTCCAAAAACTGATCAATTTCATATTTAGACGGGTTTATTTGTGGTTTCATAGAAATAGAGTTGTTTCTTCTTTATTTATTTTTAACTGGTTAGCTAGAACCAACCAACCATAGCTGCGTTAATATCAGTGTTAGTATCAGCACTAATGATTTCATTAAATTC